GGAGGAGGGAAGTGGAAACCAGTGCCGTTTATGGGTGACCCCAAAGCTGGGGCTGTCCCTATGCTGTCCCCAGACCTGCTGAGCACAGGGGCACCCCTCAGCTCTGACCCCCTTCCTGCCCCATGCTGGGGAAGGGCGGGGGGGGGGTCCCACTGCCCTGGGGGGGGCGAGGGTTAAACAACTGGCCTGTGGTCCCAAAGGACAACGGGTGTCCTCCTGGCATGGAACCGGTGGCTATGCTCAGGCCAGGAGCCACTGGTGATGGGCATAGCCAAGGGCAAAGCCAGGAGGGATGGGGGGGCAGGGGTGTGTGTGTGCAGGAGTCACACAGTGGGGACCCCTAATTGGTGTGGGGGGACATCCGCGGGGGGGTGAGGGAGAGGACAAGCTGGGGCAGGAGAAACGTCACCAGCCAGGGCCCAATGGCGTACTTGAAGAAGTTGGTGCTGTACCACAGGGTGACATCTGTGGGCTGGAGGAACCAGTGCAGGACCTGTATGGCCACCAAGGCCAGCAGGGCGCTGGCCAAACGCTGCCAGGGGTCCAGGCGAGCCCCCTGGGGCAGGGAGAAGCTGGCGGCCAGCCCCAGCCCCAGGGCACTGCCCGTGTCCCGGGAAATGGAGGCGAAGGGCCGGGTGTCCAGGCGCAGCCAGGAGGGGTTGGAGCACCATTTGGTGGCCAAGCGGATGGACCTGCGGCAGGGGGAGGAGAGGGGTGAGTGGGATGTGAGGGGGGGAATCTCTGGGGCTAGCCCCACGCCAGGGTGGGGGACAGATCCCTGGGGCTAGCCCCATTTCCGCCCCCCCCCCCCAGAATATGGAGGGCAGATCTCCGGGACCAGCCCCATGCCAGCCCCCCCAGCCTAGGGCTAATATCTGCCCCTTATGAACCTGGGGGGCAGATCCCTGGGGATAACCCCCAGCCAACCCGGGGGGCAAATCCCTGGGGCCAGCCCCATACCAGCCTCAGAGGCAGATCCCTGGGGCTAATCCCCCCTTCCCTTGAACCTGGGGGACAGATCTCTGGGGCTATTCCCCCCACCACCACCGGCCTGGGGAGGACGGATCTGTGGGGCTAGCCTCCTGCCCCGGGGCACTCACCAGTCAATGTCGATGCCAGTGGCGATCAACAGGCTGTGCAGGGCGAGGGAGCTGAGCAGCAGGGCCAGCCCGGTGGCCACGAAGAAGCCCAGGGTGCAGGTGGCCAGGGTGCAACTCTGCAGCCTCCAACCCAAGACTGCCCCTGCAGGGTGAGGATGGGGCAAGTTGGGGGTCCGGGATGGACTTGGCTGGGGGGGGGCGGCGCTCAAGGGGAAGGGAAGGTGCCCCAAAACCCCCTGGCCCAAGGGTGGGGGTTGGGCTCCACGTGGAGGGACCAAATGTCCCCCCCCAGTAGCCCCACTCACCTGTCAGGATGCCGCCGACCACCTGATGGGGGAAATGGGCCAGCACGAAGATCCGGGAGAGCCCCACGGCCAGCAGAAGCAGGACGTAGGCGCCGAAGGGGCTCATCTTCACCACCAGGCTGGAAGGCAGAGAGGGTGAGCGGTGAGTAGACAGTCATGGGGCAGGATCGGAGCTCCCCAGCACCTTGTGCCAGGCAGGGAAAGACTGGCCCCCGCTTGGCAGGAGGAATGAGTGAAGCACAGGTGAAGACAACCAAAAAAGAAACACCTCAGGGGGGCTTTTTGAGGGTCTCTGGGGCAGCCAGAGCTGCCAGGATGGAGCTGTGTTCCCCAGGAGCCACCCCACTGGGAGGGGACGGTGTCCCTCCACCTGCCCTGTGCCCATGATGTGCTGCGGAAGGGTCCTGTGTTACAACCTCCCACTTCCAAAAGGGGTTTTGGAGGCTTCCAAGTGCCAGCTTCCCCCTTCCCAGGACTCACCTCCTGGAGTGTCTGGATGCCAGTGCTGTCAGAGCGGTGACAAGTGGCCAGAGGGCTGCTCCTGTGACCATACAGTGGCCGGAGGGGCTCCCTGCCAAGAGCAAACACAGGCCGCTCGACACGCTGGGTCAGGGGGGGAGCTTGTACCAGGGGGTCACCCAGGAGAGGTGGGGACATATCTGCTCCCTCCTGGCCAACACCCACAGGGGGCTCAGCTTGAGGATGAGGATGGAACGAGCCAGTGTCTCTGGATGATGGCCACCTGCCCCCAAAAAGCCAGGCTCTGGGGGGGGCTCTGTGGGCAGGAGAGGTCAGGTGGAAAGGGCGAGCGAGGTGCCCCCGTCCCTGTCACTGGCAGACTCTCCCGTGGGTTTCCTGGCCCCAGAGCTGCCTGTGCCGTAGGTGCGATGCCAGCAGCTGTGGCGCCCGGCCTGCTCCCCGCCGCTCGCTCCTTCGCTCTGCCACAACACGCTGGCTTGATGAACAGCAAGTCCCACCGGCAGCATTCCCATCCAGATGGAGCCTCCTAGCTCCTCCAGCCCTTCCCTACGAATTCTGCCAGAGAGGCAAGGGAAAGCTTTCCCCCCCTGTTACTCACCTGGTCCCGTTTCGCAGGAGACGGGGAACTGGCGCAGGACAACCAGCTGTTTTCCTGCGAGCCCCGATTCATGAACCCACCAGAACGGGCGCTCCCCAAATAAGAACCTGGTGGGGAGAGAAACCAGAGAGCAGTGAACGTCCCAACGCAGCCCTACGCCTTCACCGCCAGCAGGAGGAGCAGGATTTCTGCCAGTTCTTATGGTTCCCGGGCTTCTTTTTTCTGCCACAAATGCCTGGCAGATGTGTTACTGTGACTCGGGTGACCAGCAGAAACTCTGCAGGCCCCATGTGAGGACCAGCACTTGTCTCTGCCCGCCCAGTGGAGCCCGCCGTTGTGTTTCTGCTGTTGTGAATGTGCCACCGCTCAAGCCCTCGGGGTGTGACCACGGCGACCCTGTGACTCTCCCCTCACCATTTGAGGACCACGTTGAGCCACTCGGACACCAGGCCAATCCACAGCACCGACACCCCCACCTTGCGGTCCAGAAAATAGGCGAGAGGGAAACAGACGGTGAAGATGCATTTGGGATCGGCCAAGGAGGTCACCGAGATCCAAAATTTTTCCAGCCAGGGCGGCCCGGCCTGCAGCGCCTCTGCGAAGCGGATCCCAGCAGTGTGCAGGGAATCCATGTCACTGGGCTGGAGGGAGAAAGGGAGCGTTAGAGCTCAGGCCTTGGCACAGAGCCTGCTTGACAGGCAATGGCCTTGGAGGTGACTCCCCCGGGGCGACTGTCACCCTGTGGCAGGCTCCCACCCTTGCTGTGACCCTGAGGGACGCCTTGGCGGGTGATGCCAGCGCTGGCACGGCTTCAGGGAGCCATTTTGCCACTTGAAGTCTGCCCTCGAAGGACTCTCAACCTTTGCATCCCACCTGTGGCCGGTGCTGCAGAGAGCCACAGTGGGGATGGTGGCACCGGGCAGCATCGCTGCGTGCCACGGGGCTGTCTCCCGAGGGCCAGCGCCGGTAGGACCAAGACCGATGGGTGCTCTGGGTTGAGCCAGCATGAGCACATCCCAGGGGCCTCAATGCGGGGTTTGCTGGAGCAGTCAGGCTGCCCTGATTAGCTCTGGCCTCCCTGGGGCCAGCATGGGACTGCCCTGGTGCCTCCCTGGAGCAGGCCCGGAGTGTCCATGGAGCAGGCCCAGGGTTGGCTCAGGTTCTCCCTGGAGAATGCCCGGGGTCTTCACAGAGAAGGATTGTGGTCTCCATCATGGAGTAGGCCTGGGGTCTCCCTGGAGAAGGCTTGGCATGTCCATGGAGCAGGCTTGGAGCAAGCCTGGGGTTGGCCCGGGTTCTCCCTGGAGAAGGCCTAGGGTGTCCCTGGGGTGTCCTGGGACCTCCCCAATCATGGAGAAAGATTACAGTCTCCATGGAAAAGGCCTGGGGTCTCCCTGGAGCAGGCCTGGGGTCTTCATGCTAAAGGTTTGCGGTGTCTATGGAGTAGGCCCAGGGTCTCCCTGGGGTGGCCCAGGGTCTTCCTAGGGTCTCCTGGGGTATCCCTGCAGCAGGCCCAGGGTTGGCCTGGGTTCTTCCTGGGGTCTCCATGGAGAAGGCCTGGAGCAGGCCCGGCATCTGCTGGGGTCTCCCTAGGCCAGGCCCGAGACCTTCCTGGCTCCACCGGGGGTGGCCTGTGGTGTCTGTGGAGCAGGCTGGGGGTTGGCCCGGGTTCTCCCTGGGGTCTCTATGGAGCAGGCCCAGGGTTGGCTCGGGTCCTCTCTGGAGAAGGCCTGGGGTTGGCCCGGGTTCTCCCTGGGGTCTCCCTGGAGCAGGCCTGGAGCAGGCCCAGGGCTGGCTCGGGTCCTCTCTGGAGAAGGCCTGGGGTTGGCCCAGGTTCTCCCTGGGGTCTCCATGGAGCAGGCCTGGAGCAGGCCCAGGGTCTGCTGGGATCTCTCTAGGCCAGGCCCGAGGCCTCCCTAACTCCACCGAGGGCGGCCTGGTCCTCCGGGGGACACCTGGATGCCCGAGGTGGGGGGTGTATCTATCCCCAAGTGTGCCCCCCTCCGCCAACCCTTTCCCACCACCCTCCCGCTCACCCGGCCTCTTCCGCCTACACTTCCCAGCAGCCCTCGCGGCACCGGGATGGGGGGGAAGCGAGAGGCGCTTTGCCCCGCCCTCTTCCGTCGCGCGTGGTGACGTCGGCGCGGGCGGTGGCACCGCCCACCTCCGCTCCCCTCCGC